AATACTCATACCTCAATAATGCATTTATTTCAATTTGAGAAGCGTTGCTATGCGAGTTTTTATAAATCTGCATACAAAATTTAAAATGAAAAATTTTATCAATTTTTGACAATTTTAACGATGTAACCCCTGTTATTTTTTTGCAAAAATGGAACATTTTGGAAAATTTAGTGTTTCTGCCGGAAATAGCTAGAAAGATTCGCCTGTTGATGCTGGTCAAGAATATATAGAGTCGGAAATGACTCTTTCGCTCACTAAAGCTAGAATATACCCTCTGTAAGGGTATAAAAAATACGAAGTGGAAGGGCAAGGGAAGAGAGGCAGGGTTAACTGCAATGTGCTGCACGCAATTACGGAGTAAAGCGAAAATAATGGCAAAGCCGGTAGCAAAAACCAAAACGGGAATAAAAAGGGTTTAAGTAAATATTTATTTTCAACAGAATTCTATTTTAAATAAAATGTTTGAGAGAGAAAGCTATAACGAGTAAAGAAAACAAAGTGAGCAAATAGTATTTATTTACGAAATTAAATAAAGCACTGAGCGCTTGCTTTAAATATATGGATTGAGTTTAATCTCAAATGAAAGTATACATTTTATATTTATACATTGTTATAAAATCATAAATCATAAAATTGAACATGTAAAATGAACAGCTTTAATCTGCTTTTAAAATCCCATTACGTATACGCCATGGTGTCACACCGCGAATTCATGAATTCGTTGATCTTTTTACAATTCCCTTGCAATTCCGACAAGGCTATAAACTGATAAAATGCCATATTATTTTTGTTTTTTTTCTTTTCTGTGTTTTAATTTCGACATGCGCTTTAATTAAACAAAAAGGTGGGGAGGATGATGATAAAAAGAGCATAAAGCCGGCAGACAGACAAGGGAATTAAGCAAAAAGCGAAGCCAGCAACAATGCTGCATGCACATAAACAACAAGGCAACAACACCATTGTGTCACCTACAATTATCCAGGCAGGTGCTCAGAAGCCACAACAACAAAAGCAACAAGAACAACAAGAACAACAGGAACAACAGAAACCATAACAACAACAGCGGCAGCACAGCGATTTATGTGCGAAGAAAAACGCTGGAGCAGGAAAAGCGAATGAGTACAAGATACGCGTTACTTAAGCGGTTAGATGATTCCAGGAGGGCGTTCTACGGCAGGGGGCGTGTCGAACAATAGAAAAAGTTATTCAGCCAGTGGAGGTGGGGCAGGAGTTGGGCCAAAAGGGGTGGCTACAATTGAAAGTCCGTAAGCCGATTGCCCAAGGCGGCAGCAGCAGAAAACACAAGTTCAGGTGGGGGAAAAAAACTCAACTGTGAGTAGAGACGGTTGGTGGGTAAAGCGCAAAAATCCTATTTATGTCAATTCGCAAAGTAAAGTGGCTGAAGAAAAACTCAACTTCAGGGTTCTTGCCGAAACAAGACAGCGTGGAATTCTCGAAAGATAAACAGCGACTTGTCAGGAGTTAGCGAGAAGGTAAAATTATATTTAGATAACAAATGCAATAAATGTTATTTTTTTGCGGTTTAAATATAAGCTCTTGAGCTGAGACTCAGGAAATATTAAATTTTAACTTTCAAGAAGTCGATAAGTGAATGAAAATGTAATAATACTAACAAAAAATATAATATTTATCATTATAAAGCATAGCTAAGCACAGAAATCATCAAAATTAAGAGCTAAACATATTTTATCTATTGTCTTTATGTCTATTTATATGTCTCTTTTTCTTATTTGCAAAACATTTTTGAAATATATTGTTTTGGCTCTGTCAAGGCTGGTTTTATTTACCAAAAACACATTTTGAAATGTATTATGCATATTAAATGCGCCAGTATGTGTTGTTTTATGAACAAAATAAGTACCATTTGTGCTTATTTTTGCATATATATAATTTAAATGTCACAATTTAAAGCTTTCTTATATGTATATTATAAAGCTTTTAAAATAACCCTCATTCAAGAGAAACTGTGCTAAAAATTAAATACATACTTAAATTTAATAATGTCAGGGAAGGACTTCGTTTCAAGTGGCCAATCATTTTGTTGAAAATAAGCCGTCTTTGAAGTATTTTTAAAATAGCGAGGATTGAAGAGCTGCAACAGTTTAAATTGGTTCAGCAATCTCCGACCTCTGCGGGATTCAAGTGCAAGGACTTGAGCTGAGCGAATTGTATGCAAACATTTACCCATGCGGGGGACGGACCCGTGCTCCTGGGGCATCGACAGCGGCGGCATCGTAAACCGTACCAGCAGGATCCCAGTAGCAGGAACTGCTGGCTGGAGGCAGGAACACTTAAGCCCAAATGGCAACACAAACACACGTGCTGGCAAGGCCACCAGCCGAAGGATGACAACGACGACACTTGAGCAAATGCGTTTGCCTGTATCCTGTCGCCTGTCGCCTGTCGCCGGTCGCCTTCCTCCAGAATCCTGTGTACTCTGTGTGCTGTGTCCTGACCCCCATCTACCAAGTGGCAGGCAATCTACGAGACGAGTTTCGCCCCACCGAAAAATTTCGCTTTCAAGATATATATGCGCTCGATATTTACGCATTTATTTATGCCGCTCTTTATTAGCTTTTTATCGTTCATTTATTTTGCTCGTTATGTTCGCGTCGTCGTGGTCGCGACTACCCACCCCAGCCTACCCCAGCCTCACCAGCTTATTTGCAGTGCTATTTTTGGACCAACAATCCGAGATACGACTGAATTCATACACAAGCAGTCGCGTATAGATGGAAGCAAGCCCTGATAAAGACATCGATCATCCTCCAGAGTAATCCAAATGGAATGCAAATGAAGCTCATGGTCACCGAAATCCCCAAGCTGATTGATAAGCGCCATCGCCACCACCATCCCCGTCCTCATTATCCATTATCATCCGATTCCACTTGCCCAAATTGGAATGAAAAATGTAACCAAAGCCGTCGTAAAGCAATTTCCCTTACTCAACACCTGCCTTGGCCCCTACTCCTCATTATCTCTGCCCCTCCTCGGGCTAAGCGAATTATGTAGCTCTCGGAGGGACTCGAGTTCTACTCTCCTGCTCCCTTATTCCGACCCGAAATTCAATTAACATTTTTAATTCCCTCACTTTGCACTACTTAAGAACGCCCCAACGGCTCTGCTGCCCCTCACTCACCCTGTAAGACAATGTTAAACAGGCGAATATTATTAACCTTGCTTTATATTTAGCTGAAGAAATATTTAAGGGAGAGCAAAATTTCATTATGAGTTTGATGATTTCCTTTTAAGAAGAGTGAGCGAAGGACTTGTTTAAATATGGAAAATAAGTAGCAAGCTAATCACTGATTATGGTATATTTTTGGGTACTTTTTATACCCTTGCAGGGTATTATTAATGTAGTAAGAAGCTTGTAAATATGTGAAGGAGTCATTTTCGACCCTATAAATCATATATATTCTTGATCAGCATCAACAGTCAAATTTTTCTGGCTATCTCCGGCAGAAAACCAAAATTTTCCATAATTTTCCATTTTTTGCAAAAAAAGGAAAGGGGTTACATCGTTAAAATTATCAAAAATCGATAGAATTTTTCATTTTAAATTGAGTGTACAGATTTATTAACCTCACAAAAACTAGCATAGGAACGCTTTTTGAATTGAAATTAATGCATTTTTAGCTAAGTTATGAGAATTTTAAACTTAAAATAATATATATATATATATATATATATATATATATATGTATTGCCTAAATTTTGCTTAAAGTTAAATGTTCTCTTTTTCTACCATTTGTATATGCATTTCTGCAGCTCAAAGAAAGCCTTTCTCCCCCTTTTTCAATTACATATATTCTTATACATGGAATTCCAATTGAAATGGGTCGGACATTGGTCGTTTTCTCTGTTCAATGAACCCTGCCTGTAGATGTCTTTTCGAGTGTGTTTTCTTCGGGCAACTTGCTCTTAATTAAAGCTGCAACGTTGGCTGACATTAAATAAGTGTCTTTCCATACTCTCCATGTGTAACTCTTTGATGTGTTTCAATTACTTCCACTTTCCCAACCGCTGACAAATTTGCCTGGGTTTATTCTGAAGGAATTCCATTGTATGGCCATTCTACACTCAGTTGCAAATACACACACACTAGCCACACACAATGACCATGCAGTTTCGGGCTGCTATTTGCATGCGACATTTATTTTTAGCACAATCGCAGCGGAAGACCATAAGTCTTGAACAAAGACTTTTTTATGCCCTGCTAAAGCTTATTTTTGGTTGTTTTCATGCAAATTTTTGGTTGTTATTGGATTACAGATTTGAAAAAGTTATAGGATGAGTCTTTTCCTCCTTTCAGATGTATTTGCGTTTTACTAGAATTTCTAAATTGATTTAGTTTAAAGGTTTAAAATATATTTAGTATGTAACAAAATCAAAGAGTGACCCAAGTCAGCTCGAGCTTTAATTCTTAGTGGCTATCTCCCTTAACCTCGAGAAACCCCTGCTGCTTTCCTGTCAACAACACACATCCATAGAGAGACCTTTACCCAGGCCCATAAGAGGCAATCACTCTTGTGATAGGAGGGAACACGCCGACGACCTTGATCCGAGAACAATTTGGCCCCACTCATTAAGACGATGTGTATAATATAATGTACGAGTGTTTTAGATTAATTAAAGCAGTCGGGCCAAGCCAAACAGAATCACCACCAGAGTGAGGTCTGGGAACTGGGAGCCGAGAAGACGGAGGCAAAACCCCCGCCACCCACGGCTATTTATGTCTAATCAAATATATACATATATCGGGTACTGCAGGGCGTGTTTCTGGCCTGTTTGGTGTGCAAATGTGTGAAATACATTAACCGCCTCGAGCCATAATTTACGAGCCGTACGATGCCAGAATTGCTGGCCAAATAAATTTGAATTAAGAGGAGCAATGAAGCAGAAGCCACAACAAACAAAGGAACAAACAAGAAATTCGAAAATCGATCTCACGATCCGTGGTCACTTGATGCCGGTACCTCGTAAATGGTATTCATAATTCTCACCCGCTCCACCAGACTTTCGGCGCGACGCGCGAAAGAGGCGCGTTTCTCGGCGGCCAGCGCGGACATGATTAGAACTCGGGGAATTCGGGGGACTCTGGACTATCCGGATTATATGGGGTTTTCTTTGGGAACCGACACAGTCACAGGGGGCGAAAATCACAGGGGACCGCAGCTGGAAATAAAAAGAGAGAGGGAAAGTCATTTGATCGATGTTAGATATTAAACAGTGGTGTTATCTAAGGCCAATCGATCGAATGCGAATGTCAAGTACGTTTAACTAAACAAATATCACAAGGTACGTCGTGTAAGACAAAGCATATGCAAAAATATCTTTAGGTATATCTATATATATTTACAGTAGGAATATATACAGAAATACAGGAATTAATTTTTGAAATTAGGTAAAATTCATTTACTGTGGGAAACTGTTTGTTTTTATATGAAAAATCTATCTCACATTGAATCTTTCTTGAAACAAAGTTATAAGATTATTTAACTTAGGCGACTTCTACTGTAAGTCATATCCAAAGGCAGCCAACACGCGCCAAAATAAGCCCCTGATAAATCAGTTGCTTGAGGTCCCGGCCCCAAAACATTGAAAAATTTGTCGAGTATTTTTCATATTTTGTATTTTCTTGGCGACCACACTGAAAGACAAGCAATAATCAACAACTTGGCGCTGAATTGCAATTATTTTGAATGCACAATTTCGCTTCTTGACATTTATTTTGGGAAATTACCGTTGTTATAACTGAATCGAAATCGAAACTCGAGCGCAATTCTTTCAATTTTCAAATGGAAATAGTCAGCTACCGAGTTCGGCATAAATATTCGCATGGAAATTATCAACAACTGGCATTAAAGACGGAGTGGGGCACAAGCAACTTTCGAGCGGAGACGATCGCATGCGAAAACGCGTCCAAATCGGAGGAATACCGCCGTAGAACTGATGACACATACGACCCGTATGCCCGTCTTTTGTAGCGCGCCGAGCATAAAGAGAGTGAAGCGAGTGAAAATACAAAATTCATTATTTTATTTTTAAATGTCCGCTTAGTCTCTGTCTCTCTCACTCTCTCTGTTTTTCCATTGTTTACCCGTCTTGGCAGATTGATTTATAGATTTAAATGCAACAGGTGCCAGTGCACCCAAAGCACTCGGAAATGGACTTGGGTCCAGCGAAAGACTTGGGAGCACACACCCACTAAACCTATTTTTGAAACTGATTGGAGCACAAAGCTGGTTGCAATTTGCATAATGCTATCATTAAGCATTGCCCACTAAATTATGATAATTCAGGTTTGACGTATTCGAAATAATTTGCAAAGTACTAGACCCATTGTTGAAATAGTAAACGCAATTCTCGTCCAGCAATGTAACTAAAGAAGATCAAAACCAAAAGTGATCTCCAATGAATTAAATTATGTATAATATTGTATTTTTAACAAGAGACATACACATGTTTCTTTTACTTTTTAAAATAAGTGTTTTTTTTCTTGCATTTAAATTTTAAAAAATTGTAAATTGGTTGGTCTAGCCATTATAAAACTAAAAAATACTCTATACCCGCTATTATATCTTTGACTATGTTTTAGACTTCTTATCAAGGTTATTTTTATTTTTACATGACCAAGTTCCTTCATTTAATAAAATACAATTTTCACATTTAATACAAACATTTCAATTAATTCTTAATAAGTCAAAATGTTCAATTTTACCGCCCAAAAGAAAATTATTGCATTTAGGGGCGCCACCTGGTAAGGCAGTATTCAAAGCAAATGTGGCACCGTCACAGCGTTAGATTCGATATATTCGACCACCAATAAATTTTAAATTTTAATTCAATGAAATATGAAGAAAATTTAAAATAGAGACCTAGAGAATCTTGAGATTCTGGAAATTGGTCAATATATTTTTATTTTCCTTTCGTAACGCTTAAAAAAACAATCGATGATGCCGGGCTTAGCCATCGATAAGTCGATGTTTTGACAGCTGTAAGGACCAACAATCGATAGTACCCCATCGATGTTTTGACAGCTCTAGTTTGCACTTTTTTTGTGCATTTTTTATAAAAAATAAGTAACGACGTGTGGCAACGAATAACGAAACATCAACGAAATGGCAACGCGCGGCGGTCCAATGGTGACGGGCACCGACGGCAACGACTTCGAGTTCAGGCAGCGCGTGGCTGGCACATATCAAATTAGGTTATTATTGGGGCGAACACACTCCGAACTTTCCTCCGCAGCTGTCTCCCACACAGCCGAAATTATCTAATTACTTGAGTGCCTGCGGCAGTAGCTCAATAGTTGGCACGTCCGCTAAGCGGCCTTCTGGCAGGAGGAGCCTCCCTTTCCGCCTGGAGGTCCGGCGAGACGGAGACTCCGTCATCACCCACTTGCAGCTGGGCAAACTGCCAGCTAGGCAGGTGGCAAGCTAACTACCTGGCGCCTCAGTAATGGGCTTTGTTTGGGAGCACAGACAGCGGAGGCTTTTCCCTTGATGAAATACTAAGATGCTTATGTCTTGCAGCCTGCTGAACAAATCACGATTGAAGTACTGCATTTTCTTTCACGCCCTGCTCTTCTTCGTGATGCTGGCCAAGCTCACATCGGACATTCTGGACCGGCTGGACATCTTTGTGCTGGAAATCGAGGAGCTGGAGGTGCCGCCGCCTCTGTGGTGGGAGTACGTGTGGGCCGCCTCGTTGCTCACCTCGTTCCTGGGCCTGTCAGCCGCCCGCGGCAACAAGGTGCGCGAAATGCAAAAGTACATGATCGCCATCCTGGTCTTTGCCGTTCTGCCGCTTTTCTACTGCTTCGCCTACTACTTTTCGGACGTTTGGGAGTTTGCCACGCTGGACAAGTCCGTTGAGCTGGACGAGACGGACATTTTCGTTTGGCGCGTACGTAGCGATTATATTACAAAATTAATTAGCCTCTTAATCTCTTCAAATTTATTCTCCATCACAGGGATACCCGTACGGAGTGTTTTGGTATGCATTCTGCTTCGTTGGATTCCAGGTGCACGGATTCACGCTGTATTTCGCATACAACCTGGTCAAGGCCTGGAAGGCCAGAACTGCCACGCGCAAGTTCCAGTAAAGCCGGAACCGAGAGGAGCCGAGCAAAGTCTAAATACTCGCCAAACTAGCAAACGTCAGAGAGCAGGGAGCAGGCAGTAGCTAAAGAGCTGTAGGGCTAGATGTAAATAATTTGGAAAAACTTGAAACTAACTCGAAACACTAGTGCACAAAAGCGTAATGAAACTATGGTAAATTTAAAGTTATGCAGCTGTTAAGGTATCGCACATTTTAGTCATACAGGAAGGGAGAACACACTTAAACGAAGCGTCAGCGTTAAAGTTATTGTTAGTTGAAAGTTAAACCGTTCAAAATGATTAAATAGACTCTTATCCATATACACCTATATACATAATACATATGTACACACACACGCAGCCTTGAGAGGTCAACTAAAGACAGGAATGCAACTGAAGCCACCAAATTTCCCCGAGTCGGAAGCAAAACCAAAAACCACAACCTAGAAATCCACTTCATTTTTGCTTACTTACATTTCGACGTGCCTCGTGTTTGTTAAAAACGTTTTATATATACATTTACAAATGGAATATATACATACATCTATCTATGTTTATGTCCGCGGATGAGTACTTCCTCGCTTAGGTTTTAATTAGTTCTCTTTTCTACATATTTCAAAATCGTTTCATTTTTTTTAATTATCTTCTCGTATAAATTTTGAATTTGTTTTGAAACTATTAGCACAGTTCCAACATACTGTGCGTAGGCTTTCGAATGTTCGAGAAACTGCCCCAAACTATTTACAACTTTCTATCACTGTTTACACACATAATGATAAAGGAAAATTCAAATGCAATTTGAGTGTTAAAGCAAAGTTTATACAATTTCTGATCGTCAATAATATATATTGTGTAATGACAAGTAAGTCGCAAAACTAAACAGAGAATTGAATTTTAATGTAATAATGTTTTTTTAATCGTAATTTATTATTCGACTTTTTAAGTAGTTTTTAAAAATCGATCAATAAAGATGCATATATATTTGTTCTTCTGAGTGGGTTAAAAAGCATGTATTACCTGGGTTTTTTCAGAGTGGAAAGTAAAGGAAACTAGATGGCTAACTAATTTGTAAAATAATTATTTATATATCTTATTTATAAATCGATCAATACGAAAGGATGTGTGGAAATATTTAAAAATTTTAAATATAGCCAGGTCCCTAAGCTTTTCTATTAAGGAGAATCACCACCATAGGCCGACCATCCCTGCGCCCAGCTGGCCCACTTGGCTTCGTTGCAAGGCTCAACGGCTGATGGCCACAACAATCGGGCCTCTTTAGTGACCATTTGTGCATCGGACCGAGTGGTGGAGCAACAGCACCAGCCTGGAAGTCCTTGCTGCAGTCGAAAATTGCGCAATTGTTTACAATTAGTGAAAGAGAGGACAGCTTGAAGAGCGGAAAGCTGCGGAAAAGAGTAAAAGCTTTTTCGCAGCATCCTTCCCTCTTTTACACGCTCTCAATCTCTCCTTGAATCTCCATTTTGACGTTGCCTGTTTGAAGAACAGATGCGAAATTTTTCCAACACACACTTTTTTGGACTACAGTAAACAACAAAAATCACTAAAATAAAACAATAGTTTTTCAAAATTCAAAATTATTGAAGAACAGTGGAGGAACAGGATGCGTGGCGAGGAAACGACATACAGGCGCACGACGCGCGAGAAGATTGTGCTGCGGGGGAACACAACCATACGCACCGTGGACTCCACTTCCACATACCTGCCCGTGATGAGTCCTGCGGGGTGAGTTACACTAAGCGATGGCCAGGGGCGAGAGCAGCAAGGGGTGTAGCAATTAGAGGCATAAGGCGTGCCGGGCCACTTGAGCGTTCCATGACTGTTGGCGTTGCGGCGAAATCGATTTTTATCTCAGGATGTGCAGCTGATTTTCAGATACAGACGTATCTATTATAGACGACCTTCGGTTGTGGCTTTCCTCTGCCTTTTTGACTTTGCTCATGGCGTTGACAAATCTCTCCAAGCACCCGGACTGCGCTGCTCTCCAAAGTATGCTATGCTTAATAGCCTCCGCGATTGCAGGCCAACTCCAGAGCCGGCTTTCTTGGCCGCATGCAAGCTCGCCATTAAATTACATAGCCGGCAAATTATTAAGAACCGAGTGCCACTCGAGAGGGTAAATACACGGTCCTGCATAAGTGTGTGTTCCGCCTTGTTTTACCCAGAAATCGATGGAATCTTCGGCTAGCTGCTAGCGTGCATTGACCACAGGTCCAGGTACGGTTCGCCAGGCTTGTTGGGAAAGAAGTCTATGCTTTAAACGAAGCCCGAATATCCTTTCCCGCTGAAGGAATTCAATTGGAATAAGAACTTTTTGGAGAATAACAACCTTAAATTATGAATTACAAATGGGATGAAATACTATTTTGAATAATAGATTTAATGATTAGCGAATAGAAATTTATAACAGAAAAACCTTAAGAATTGTCTCAAAATATTAGACTAATGCATCCGTCTCACGTACAAATCAAACTAACCTTAAGAGCTGCTTCCTCTTAGTTATGGTACCCTCTCCTTGGGAATAACCATGATTGAAACCGCCCCCAAGCAGCGCCCAGGCGAAACTTCCTTTAACCTCAATTCGCATTCACACGGACGACGCACACAAGTCGACTGGGAAAACTACCCGGCTAAGAATGTATGGGCAGAGTGAACTGGTCAGCTTTGTTGTGGACGCAAAGCGTCGTTGTCGTTGTCGCCGTCGTCCAGTCAAGCGGTCAGTTGGTCTACAACCCTTGAGTCGTCAGGTGGACGGTCCTCTCGGGTCGCCTTTACGAGCCTCTACAGGAGGCCAGCAATCGTAGTGTCCGGGCGGGGACTGTCAGGGAGCCAAGTTTCCGCTCCCCAAACGAATCGCGTGTGTTTTTTAAATTTTAAGTGAAGTGTTGTGTGTCTGTCTCATCGTTATCTGTCTGAAGCCTCACGGCTTGATGATGTTCAACACCAGTGCCCAAAATTGGTTTGGCATGGGTCAGACATCGGTGGCTCCGGCCGGCGGTGTTTCCCAGTTGCTCAACAACAATAACTCGGGTGTGTACCAGCCCCATCAGACGGCACCGCATCCCTTTATGCGGCAGCGATCGCTGACCAGCTCCAATCCCGCCCTGGAGCGCTCCAATGCAATAGCCCCAAGGCCCCAGTCGCCTCCGAATGTTCAGGTGAAATATGAGGTGGCGGTACCCTTTGTTTCCACATACCGACACACCCCATATCACTCGCTGTGGGATCTGCACCAGTGGTAAGAACTACTGTGGATTTCATTGATTTAAATTATGTTTTTAAAGTTGAAATCCAACACAGCAGTATCTAACATGAGTAGGTTGATAGATTATAGACCTCAGAACTACATGAGTTTTATGGATCCTTACGAACTTAATTCAAGGAATAATTGGGATTATATTCTTTATTTAAAATTTCTTGACTTGACAAGTAACCCAGGAGCCTTCATAGGTCTGTGGGAACTGAAGAGGGCTTCCTGCTTTGCATAGAACACAAAGAGCTTCCGAGTAAAGTGACCCTCCATGACCCCATCCAGTTTTGTAGCTGGTGCTAGTTGGGAAAAACGGATTTCTGCCAGTCATAATTGGTATTTGCTGTAATTTGCATAGGGCAAAATGTTGTTTTTTGCTTTGCCAATGGCTTTATCGAGTGGAAATTAGCATAAACACCTCTTGGTGACACGGATTTTAAAGAAACCATCATAACTTAGAGTCCAAGGATAACGACCACTTCTCAACCTGGTTTTTTTCCACGCTTCTTCGGCCTTGTAACACTTTGGCAATCAATCAATGGCTCAATTAAAATGCATGTAATGCCTAGATTAGCCCCATCGATATTACAGAAATAAAATATATAGAACAGACCCTAGATGGCCTAGTTAGTCGCTTGGATAATCAGAGGCTCGTTGGCCGCTCCGCTCCCCTCAGGAATCAGAAAGCAGAAAGCAGAAAACAGAGAAGAGAAATCGTGGGCGAGCACATAGGAAACATTAACCCAAATTCGAACGAGTACGGCGCACAATATAAATACAAAGCGGATGTGGCAGGAGTCAGGCAATATGGCCGGGAATTATGGCCTACTGCTGCTGCTGCTGCCAACTTAATTAGCCTGGCGTACAAAATATTGCGGCATACTTCTCAGATCGAGATTTACAATGTTTCGACCGGAAGGCCTGTAAAGGCTTTAATGTCGCCGGATGACGCATGCAAATGCCAAAATAAAGGAAAAGAAAAACAATTTGAACGCGAATACCGAAGTTAACAATTGTCGTCGCCGGCACGTCAATAACCTGGTCGAAGCCAGCAAGTTTATTGACCCCAACTACCTGCTAACTGAATAACCGGCCCCCTTGGGAGGCGCCACGAACTCTTTATTTCCTAGAAATTCCCGAGCATTGTCAGTGGGAATGGTAGGGGAACGGAAGGACCCCAGCTAGGGCTAGCTAATATTAGACGGCTAGACACACGGGGAATCCAACCCATACACATGTGCATACACCAGGACACGCAAAGTACTTGTCCGCGGCTGATAAAGCAAATGACCTTTGCGACATGGCCAAGTTGAATGGCAAGCGCCATGGAGCAGACAAAAAAGTTATGGATAGTAAGCCAAAAGTTTAAAAAATGGGCCCTTAGCGACATTAATTACCATGAGTTATGTGGCTTTAAAGATATATATCGCTTAACATTATAAAATGAGGGCTTGAGGCTTGATCCATGGAGCTAGATTTAATTTTATATTTTATGTAGTTTAAGAGTAAGATGAACGTTCAATGATTGATGGATTTAATTAATTTATATATATTCTATATATTATCCCATACCATTAATACCCTATACAATATCGTTTTATTCTTTGACCCTTTTAGCTCATCTACACCCCCCACAAGCCTGTCGCACATGGCCCGGATGATGGACTCCCTGATCCTGGACTCACTATCGCCATTTGCCTTCACCAAGATCACGACCACCAGTCGACCCTCTCGAAATGCCAATGGCATGAAGAAAACTTCCACTGATGGTGTCCTCTCATCACCTGCGGATCGTCAGAACCGACCGATTAACAATCTAGGGGCTAATGCTCCTGGAGGATTGGGCATCGGTGGAAGTGTACCACTGCGCAGCAAGCAGCGGTTGCCCACTCAAGGTTCGTGATCCCCGTCTGTTAGGGTATTTTATATAACCATTAATAAACTATAGTCTCCGCCGCAGAAGTGGCCCCCCAACCGCGTCCGAGCCAGACGGCCCAGATGCCATTCCCCTCGCAGCAGCAGGACAACCGATGGGTATCCTCCCTTAGGCGTCGCGATCCCGAGCTTCAGCCCACACTGCCCTCAATCAGTAGTAATGCGAACAGCAGCAGCCTTAGCCAGAGTCATCATGGCAGTGCCGGAAATGTGGGTCTAGCGGGCGGAGGAGGATCAACTCCAGCAACCAATGTGGGAGCCATGAGGCTGGGAAGGCCAGGTAGGGCATCCGCTTTGACAGCCGCCGTTAGGAAGAGTCGATCCGTGGAGCGATTGCGAGCAAGGAAACTGAGCACCAACACCCAGCTAACTCTTAAGCATAAGCCGGTTAAGAAGAACTCACTCGATGAGAACTCCAACTCGGATGATCAGGATGCTACCACATCCCTGGAGGACAACTCGCAAGCCCAGTCCCTGTCCACCACTCACAATACACCCAAGTGCTCGCCGAAGACCAAAGTCAAGCACTTCTCGCCCCTTGGATACGAGGGTCACTTGGTGGACACCCTTGAGAAGGATATTCTACAGAGGCACCCATGTATCAAGTGGACGGATGTGGCTGGGCTCAACGAAGCCAAAACAATACTTCAGGTAAGCTTCGTAAGGATCACGATGAATCTCCGATGCTAATTTATTTCACTTTACACCCACACAGGAAGCAGTGGTGCTTCCGGTCATAATGCCGGAATTCTTTAAGGGAATCCGGAGGCCGTGGCGAGGAGTACTAATGGTAGGTCCACCGGGAACCGGAAAGACCATGCTGGCCAAGGCTGTGGCCACCGAGTGCGGCACCACCTTCTTCAACGTGTCGTCCTCGACACTGACATCCAAGTACCGGGGCGAGAGCGAGAAGCTGGTGCGTCTGCTCTTCGAGATGGCTCGCTTCTATGCACCCAGCACGATTTTTATCGATGAGATCGATGCTCTGTGTGCCTCCAGGGGCAGCGATTCGGAGCACGAGGCCAGTCGGCGGTTTAAGGCTGAGCTGCTCATCCAGATGGACGGACTCAATGCAAGCATGCAGGAGGAGAAGGTGATTATGGTGCTGGCAGCCACCAATCATCCGTGGGATATTGACGAGGCGTTTCGGAGACGCTTTGAAAAGCGGATCTATATTCCGCTGCCGAACGGTGAGTACAGCTGGGAGTTAATATATAAAATACTCTTATATGGATTGATTTTCTAATATTTCTCAGAGGACACTCGTTCGGCCCTGCTCAAGCTCTGCCTAAAGGATGTCTGCCTGTCCCCCAACTTGAACACCGGACTGATTGGCGACGAGCTCCAGGGATACTCCGGATCGGACATCAGCAACGTCTGCCGCGACGCCTCCATGATGGCCATGCGGCGCCTCATTTCGGGCCGCACTCCAGATCAAATTAAGCAGATCCGGCGCGAGGAGGTGGACTTACCCATCACGTTGCAGGACTTTCAGGACGCAAGGCAACGCACCAAGAAGTCCGTTTCCGCCGACGATGTGGCCCGCTTCGAGAAGTGGATGGAAGAGTACGGGTCCTGCTAGTTGTACGGGCTGCTGGCCCAGCACCCTCGATGATTGTATCCCTTGCGTACTTCCAAGCCTCAATTGCAATACTTTTCAATCTGTAAAAATCGTACTCGTTAGTTATAAAAAGTAAAGGTTTTTGTTTTATATACGCTTATTTGCTCAAGTGCCCCACGCCCAGCATTGCCCCTCTATATACGCGCACACGGTAATTTGAAATCTTACAAATACATGATATATACACCGGAGATATTTGTAATTTTTAATATTTATTCGAAAATCCTACTGTAGGCTTATAGCAAAATAATGTATTTTGTAATCAACATATTTAGAAAACGGAAAACGAAATAAATTACTCATCAACACCCCTTGCATCCGAAGACAGACCTTACAAGGCTCTTAATTTGGCAATGGCGTGCTGGTAGTCCTGCTCGACCACAGTGTACTCTTCCTGCAACTGATCCATGCGTTGCTTCACCGTAGGCAGGCGGGCCCTAATCATTTCGGTATCCATCTTAAGGCGTTCCATTTTCTGTAGATCCTTTAGCTGCTTGTAGTGGACGGCATTCAGCCGTTTTTTGACCTCCAGTCGGTAGGCCTTATACTCCTTTTCCTCATTGATATTGGTGTAGAACAGACGCAAAAGCTCGTACACTTTCCGCACCTGGCGGGGATTTAGCTTCAATGTTTCTCGGGCCTCACGCACCATCTCCTTGTTAAATCCTTTGATAATTTCCGCGCGGGCAAAGGACTTGAGTTCCTTACATAGACGAGCGTCAACAAAATTGCGCAACCGCTGGAAATCCTCAGACGGATCCTCTACTGTGATATCGATTACATTCTTCTGCGACTGGTAGAACTTGTAAATGCTCTCCACCATCTGGGTGGCGAGTCCAAGCTTTTGGAAGGGTGGTAATATCAGCATCTGACTAATCCTGGGTCGCTTGTTTTCCGGATAGGCGTAATACTCATATACAGTGGTATACCCAGCGGTGGCGTATTGCCACTGACCATCGCTGTTCTTGTATTTTTCATAACTAAAATAAACAGTTTGGAAAGTTCCACTTCGTACCTAATTAATAGTAAGAAAAGTAAGCTTACCACAAAAAGTAACACCACTGTGGGTCATCGGTGTCGATGTACGAGGCAGCGTCCACGAACCACAATATAAAGGTCTGCAGCCGTGCAAAGAACTTGAGGAATGACGAACTCTTGTAGTCGCACTGGTAGATCTCGAAGAGCCGTTCGGTTCCATCGTCGGACACCTGGGTATATTCCCCGATTTTCTCGCCAAAAGGCTGAAACTTGTCCGCCTTGTCCAGCGTCTTTAAAAACTCATCCAAGTTGATGAAGTAACATCCGTCGGGCAGGCTCTGTGCAATGGTGCTGACCACGTCGTCGGCCTTGACCTCGCCGCCAGAAATTTCGTTCACCCGGTTGCCGTACTCAATGCCCAGGTAAATGTGCAAAGGCCCAGCTGTGTACATCACACGTACATGCAAGTCCTGGTAGCCAAAAATCGTCTCGGACTCCCCGAAAATCTGGTGGGCCATGGCGGGGTGAAAAGTAAGGGCATCGTTGTTTATGTCGCCCTTCTCTCGAACTAAAAACAGACGCGTTGCAGGGCAGTAAAAAATCTGATTGCAGGCCACTTACTCAGCTTAAAATCCACAACTTCGAGTGCATCGAGCACCAAGTTCTGGTATTCCTGAATTTGGGCCATTTTGTTAGTCTCGTTTTGGCGCGCAAAATGTGCTTATTGTTGGAACGGCAGGGCAGTAAAAATGATTGACTTGTGTTAGTTGCTACCCTTACAATAAACTCTACACATTTATTGCTTTTATAAATTATTCAAGAGCACGTTTGGTACAACTTAAGTCGCCTCTTAAAGGTGTTTGGTAAATTTTACGCGGCTAAACAAAGACCGAAGCCGACAGTGTTGGACAACGTAAACAGTTGCCGCAGCTCAGTGCTGCAGAAGTTCGAATAGCAGATGTATATCGTATAAATGTATCGTATATACATTTTTTTTAAATATCGGGCCGATATTATTAGGAAAAATACAAAATAGTTCTATTTACTTTTTTAATTTCTTATTTTATCTATGTTTGACAACCCTATTTAGTAACCACTAAAAATTTGAAAATTAAGCTTGAATTTCATTTTTACGTGTTTTTAAAGCTTAAAATCCATTTTTAAGTGTTCTTAAATCTTGTTTGTTCCTAATGTGTCAATTTCATCGGTAGTTTCCTTTTCATTTGTATATTTTCATTTCAAAATCGACTCGTCTGACAGCCGCTTCCCAACACTAGAAAAGTCGCGCAGCCAACTTAACACAGCATTTGTAAGCAGAATTTGTGCAGAGACATTATAATTACAAAAACGCCGCTTTTTCACCAAGCAACGCAAAGCATAGCTCTCGGTGAACCTACCAGGTAGCCTACCAGTTGCAGTTACAATATTTTCCCCAGAGCAAACACTCTTGAGTAGATTCTGCGGCAGGACAAAAGCAATCGAGCGGTGAGTTCGGAAAACTGCCTAGTCATAGCGGTAAAAACACAAGTAACCCGCTTTATATTCTTGCCCGCAGAGCACAATGGATACGTATTTGTTCGATGGCGGTCGCATCACCAAGATGGAGGTGGACTACGAGCCTGCCTGTGACGAGAAGATCCCTCTGGCCAAGGAGCTGGCGAAAAAGAACCCTGATGCCTTCCACGAAGCCATCGAGATGATGCTGCAACTGGAGAAACAGACCCGTCTGGGCGCCGACATGGTCTCCTGTTCGCGCGTCCTTGTGGCCATCTGCCAGATCTGCTTCGATGCTGGCAACTGGAACGCTCTCAACGAGTATGTGTCCTTGTTGGTGCGTCGGCGCTCACAGCTGAAACAGGCTGTGGTGAAGATGATCCAGGAGTGCTACACCTACGTGGATAAGACCCCTGATAAGGAGACAAAGCTGAAGCTGATCGACACCCTGCGCTCTGTAACCGAGGGCAAGATCTACGTGGAGATTGAGCGCGCTCGACTCACAAAGATTCTCGCAGACATCAAGGAGGCCGATGGCGATATCGCCGCAGCGGCCACTGTCATGGAGGAGCTGCAGGTGGAGACATACGGCTCGATGGACAAGCGCGAAAAGGTTGAGCTCATTCTGGAACAAATGCGACTCTGCCTGCTGAAAGAGGACTACGTGTCCACGCAGATTATCGCCAAAAAGATCAGCATCAAGTTCTTTGACGATCCGGCACAGCATGATCTCAAGCTGAAGTTCTACAACCTCATGATCCAGTTGAACAGGGATACGTCCTTTCTGAAGACTTCGCGGCACTACCAGGCCATTGCTGAGCCGCCCCGCAAGAAGACTGGCCTCACACCCGCTGACTCATCCACGTCCGCAGACGAGCCGAAGAAGAAAGACGATGAGAAAAAGAAAAAGGAGGAGGACGACAAGGACAAAAAGGCAGAGGTATCTGCGGAGCCTGAGCCGGAGATCGAGCTGACCGAGGCGCAAAAGAAGGAGCTGACGGAAAAACTGGTCTGTGCCGTACTCTACTGTGTTTTGGCTCCTTTCGACAACGAACAGAGCGATATGATGGCTCATCTTTCCAAGAACAAGAAGCTGGAAGATGTGCCGGCCTACAAGTATGTACTACAGATCTCTACAAAATTTCAAAACTGCAATGTCCTTTGATTTACAGAGAAATTCTGCGCTTGTTTATGTCTAAGGAGCTCATCAATTTCGACACATTCAATGGAGATTTTGGCCAGGTGCTGGCAGAGAATGAGATGTTCAAGGACAGCACCAAGCACGGCAAGAAGTGCATCACCGAGCTTAAGGACCGTCTGATAGAGCATGTAAGTCTACGGCTAAGGCGTTTCTATTTTAGTACTAATTTATGAATCGTCCTAACAGAACATTCGCATTATTGCTATGTACTACTCCCGGTTGCATTTATCGCGCATGAGCGAGTTGCTGAACCTGCCTGCGAACCGTTGCGAGGACTACCTGTCCAAGCTGGCCAACAGCGACACCATCCGCGTGAAGATCGACCGTCCAGCCGGCATTATTTACTTCACTCAGAAGAAGACCGCCTCCGACATCCTGAACAACTGGGCCACAGACGTGAACCAACTGATGTCCCTGGTGAATAAGACCTGTCATCTGATCAACAAGGAGGAATGCGTTTACTCGGTCATGTGCGCTGTCGAGGATTAGTCTTTGCAGCACATTGCTTGTTAGAATTCAGTGTGTTTTTCTTTCGGAAACTCCTGCCCATATACAATTGTAACTGTAGTAACCACCCAACCATCAGCATTTCGATTCTCTTCGTAAAGTTTGTATTCATTGAATGAACTACAATAATTAAAACAAACCCTTTAAATATCCATTCTAATTTGGCGCTAGATTTTTGGCAGTCACAGGGAAGGATTGTCTATTGGCATTTTTCAACACTAAAAAGTGGGTGGGTTGTGCGCTAATTTCTGAAGTGACGTTGATTTTAATGGGGTTCGTTCAGTAAAATATTTAAAAAACCACAAATAATTTAGTTTACTTTGACGTACTTTTGGTATATTATATAATATTACTGGAAAGGTGGCAAATATATTTTTACTGTGCAAAAATATTACCTGTGTGACCCCCATAATCTTAATCTACGCCCCTGACAGCTTGCCATTCTGCCCAATTGTACCATACTGTAAACCATATCGTGAAATTGTTTATATTTTAAAATATCAGAATGCCCAAGGAGGATTGCAAATATTGGGACAAATGCTATCAGCGGAATCCGGCACACCTTTCTAAGTACAATCATCCAGACAAGAAAGAGGAAAAAGACAAAGAAGGTAAAGAAGATAAAAAAGTGGCGCCAAAACGGAGTGCATCCGCGCAGCCGGAGGAAAAAGCTATCCCCAACGCAAGCAGCTCCAGTACAGAGAGAGGTAATATGGAGGATCAGCAGGAGGAAGCCAGGGGCAGCTACGAAACCGAAACGGCAGAGCTGCAGAAGGAGGCCCTGAACAACATTTCCGGCAAAAACTACATGGAGATTCTGGAGAAGCGCATTCGGTTATCTGTGCAGCAGGAGTATGACAACCTCTGCCAGTCAAACGAGTTCATCAGGCACAAATTTCTGGTCGAAATGCCATCGGATTTCTACGAGTTCTGGAAATTTGTGGGAACGCTGAAAACCGATCCATCAAAACCCAAGACTGCCGGACTAGAGCACCTCGAGAAAGTATTCCAACTGAAGTTGGTGGGACCGTTTGAGTTCCTTGCTGGCAAGTTCCACGGTGCCAAAATGGGGGAACCAGGTGACTACCTTCGGCACTGGCGCTTCTACTACGACCCGCCCGAGTTCCAGACTGTCTTTGTGCGCCGAGGAACTGGGATTCATTACGGCTATTGGCGCGACGTGCCGCAGGACAAGGAGAACCTCTTAATCGCTCGCAACGACTCGGCCAAAGGCTGCGAATTTGAGTTTGTTGCTGGAAACATATTCGATGCGTTCCTCTACTTTCTGGAGCACGATTTCATGGGCACACCATTCACCACCGGACAGTTGAGTGGGACCAAAAAGGCTGTGCCAAAATACTTAAGCGAAAATTCCCTGGAACTACCACAGCTGGACCGTTTGCAGCGGGAACGCAACAAGCGGGTGGTGGCCAAGACTTTCCATCGTGCAGGAATCGTTGTTCCCTTCGATCGGAAGACGCAACTGGGCTACCGCCCACTCGCGGTTAGCGATAATGAGCTCAAGAAGATGCTGGCCCTATTGGAGCACAAGGATATCGATGGTCAAGCCGCCAAGCAGGCAGTTTTGGAGAAGCTGCAGCCGGTGGCCAACGCAGCTATCATTGCTGTCGATGAATCCGACTTTGGCAGCGCTCTGGAACTGGGCACCGACTTGTTCAGCAGCGGCCACAAGGAGCTACACATGTTGGCGTCGTCTCTGCTGGTTCCGGCCTATTCAATGTTATCCCGCCCGCAGTTTATCGCCATCGCCAAGGCGCACATGGAACAGCGTAGTCGGGAGGTGAACCTTTGCATGTTTGAAGTACTAAAGTAATTCGATTTTTTAAATTCCACAACCGCATCCTTTTTAAGAATGAATTAAAACTAGGAAACACCAGCCAAATGTTAATTTTTTACATGTACAAATAGGAGCTCTCCTTGCGCGGTGGAATATAGCTGTCGTTGCAGCTCACACCAACACTATTCAGCAGTTTCAGCACTGGTTGGGCAGCCGTCGAATCAAGCGGCAGCTTGTCAGTGTAGATAACATAGGACTTTACTGGCAACTCATCCTGATCCCGCCAACTGGCAACTATAATTAAGAAGAAGGTGAGTTAAAAGGTACATATTTGGTTACCAGGACAACTTACTGCCTGCCGCCACTCCGGCAATGAAATTGGGAGCTTCCAGTTCAGTAATATCCTTTTGGTTGACTCCGACACCACGGACGATAGCTACATGATCTCTGTACAACTGGATTTCCTCGCTTTTGAACTCGACCTTTGGCTTCAGCGTGAGTGTGACAACGTTCTTTGCAAGCTTAGCGTACGGCAGTAGAAGCTCCGTGACTTCGCCACTGCTAGACAAGTCGTCCTCCAGTATGGCCAGCAGCTGTTTGGACGAAGCATTCCAGTGTAGGGACGAAGTCTTTGCAGGGATGCCGCAGAGACGCTTCGAGTCTTTTGCGAGCACAGTTGTGGCAAAGTGGGTGACATGAGGTCCTTCAATGACCACCAGAAGATCGCTCTCCACCGGAGCTACATCTCCAGCGGATTCGTCTTCAAACTTTAGCTTCAGCCTTCGAATTTCACGGATTAATACAATGTAAACAATGCAAAGTCACTCACTTTTCAGCCGGTTTCATGTTCTCGAACTCATCCTCCTCGCAGTCATCCCAAAAGGCGCGAGACGACGGTATATTAAGTTCACCAAATCCTGGACAGCTCATTGTGTAGATTGTGAAGTTAATTTATGGACGAAACTAATTTGGCGAGCTTAATTCCGGTCACTATGTTTTGTTCAAGTCATCAGTGTGACCATGTGCTGAACGCCAAAATTTCCACCATGCAAGCTTAAGTTTTAACTTAAACCTGGTTACACTACTTACTTTCCTGACCAAATTAAAAAATTTATTTTAAAATTTAGTAAAAATGTAAACAAAAATATAAAATGCTGAGAGAGGGTAAAATTATTTTGATTAAAACCATTTTAAAAAGCAGGCAACGGTAGTTATTTATTTGAAGATGCGGGGCAGGTGTGAACACTTGAATCTCCGGCGATGATGATGGTCTACAAGTTCTGATATACCGTAAATACCGAATGGTTGTTAAAATACCAATTCACTGCAGAAGAACCAGCGGTCAAGTCACGGTAACACTGAAAACAAAAAATGCAAGATGCAGGCGTAAATTCGAATTGAAAAAAACACTCTGATCGCGATTAGGACATCGGTTAAAATCCTTTTTGGGACGAAAAGGACTCGACCCGCAGTGCGCGACAATTGTGCCCAAATTGGGGAAGCCACAGAGGGCGTAAAAACTAGCGCCATGAGGAAGCGCAGCAGCACTCGCTGCAATTCAGACAATTTTAAGGAGCAGCAGATGGATCACAATAGTGACGACATTAGCCTGTTGCAGCGCCCACTGCGCACCGCCCACACGGGATTCGAGGAAGCGCGCCGCGCCTACGAGGATGGCACCAGCGAGGTAGGTTTCCTCGAGTGGAGTACGTGACTCAGCTTAGGAGGGCAATGGCGGACTCTCCTTTGACCCACTCTGGTGATTCCCCGTATAATCCCTCCATTTCCCTGCAGGTGCGTCAGCTGTTGAGCCTGGAGTGCAGCCTGATCTACGAGTGCAAAGTCTGCCGGAACATGTTCCGCAGCCTGGCGAATTTCATCAGCCACAAGCGCGTCTTTTGCTGCGTCAGCGCTCGCTCCGCAAATGGCAATGGATACACAGTGAGTGGGCAGTAAAGACAATCTTATTATGTGATTAAAACGTGCAAGGGATACGAATATTCATCTTAAATACCCCTTCCGCAGGATCAGAACTCCACGATGATCATACAAACTGGCAGTGGGCCGTCGCCGCAGGACATCGAGCACATGCTGCGCAGCCGGAGCACGGGCTGTTCTCCAGTGCCACGCGAGGCGCGTCCCATTCGGGGTGGCGGCGGCATGCGAGACCTGAGCGGCGTCATCGAACGCCTGAGACGCGAGAAGGCCCCGGCTCAGGCGAGGAGGAGCTCGCCCACGGTTCTGCAACTGGAATCTGTACCCACCTCCAGCCACGCCGTTTACCAGACCATTAAGGTCGATCAGGAGGACAGCATCCGGACGGAGTTGGACGAAGTGCATCGCATGCTCAATCCAGCCGAAACAGTTGTCGGCCCAGATGGCAAGGCTTTGACTACGATCAAGATGGAGCGTCAGGCCGGCAGTGATTCCGGCGAGAACGGCGATCAGTCCATCAGTGACGAAGCCGAGACGAGCATCTTCTGCGAGATTTGTACGGCAACACATACGAGTAGGCCTTGCAATCAATTAGTGACTTATTTTTCCCATTCTTGTCAATAGGCAACCTGACGTTTCAGACCCACAAAACGCTCGAGCTGCACATTCAGAAGCATCACTCATCGTCGTCGTTTGTATTCCAGTGCCCCGCCTGTTCGTTAACCTTTCTGCAAGCCGCTGCAGTTATTCGTCATCTATCCAAGGACCACAAGTACGTTGCAAACTATTCAAGCTTATTATAAATAGTCCATTTCTTTTTAGAACCGACCTTATTATTTTAATTGTTTTGCTTTAATATAGAGTTTTCCATATTTTCAGGAAACCTACTCGTCGTATTCGCATGATGCGGAATACTATCCTGAAGCGTCGTGTCCAGCAGGGAGATGTTCAGAACAAGGGTCCATGCCGTGAGTTGAAGCGTTTGCAGCTCTCTGATGATGTGGTTGGTTACGTTCCAGAGCCATTGAATGCCAGCGGTGAGCAGCGCAAGATCATGTCCTTGTGCATCTACTGCGAGAAGTCCTTTGAAAGACGCGCAGCTTTATCCACCCATTTGTTGAACTGTCGTGCCAAACAGGAGGCGCTGGCCAAGCCTGCTCCTTCGGTCAAGAAGCTGAAGACGAAAAGCAACGATTCCAGCTTGGACGCAGCCGATGAAGATCCAGCTGCCTCCATGGACCTGCCGAAAAGTAAGCCTGCTGAAGTAAGTACTCTGCACGATATGTTTGCTGGTCTACCCGAGCCGAATGACTCGTTTGGTCCTGGCCTGCACACAGTCTCGTTGGATAAGCTTCAATTGGCCAATGAAAGTGATTCGGCCAGCGATGAGGCCTCAAACAGCGATGATGAGCACGAGCAGGAGCCTGATCATGAACCTGGAGTTGCTCCGGATTCCATTGCCGATGCAGAAGATGCAAAGGGCAAGATCAAAAAGAAACGTAATGTCCCAGTGGAGAAGCAGCTGCGCTGCCGCTGCAAGATCTGTCACAAGCAGTTCAATGCCCTTGGAAACCTGCGTCGTCACATATCTATGTTCCACTACCGCGCCCGTCGATTCGGGTGCAATCTGTGCGATTATCGGGCCTTTCGGCGCTACGATATTGTCAACCATCTGGGTTTCACCCACAAGATAGAAGGAGATCGGGACCAGCTAACGGAGCAGTATGTGTCAACTCACGAATGCGAATACTCTCGTGACGATGTGGATGGCGATATAATTCTGCTTGATAAGGAAGAGGAGGCATCTGCAGTGGAAGCGGACCAAAAACCTCCAATAAAGACCTACGAACGGCGCTTGAAGCGCGTCAAGGCTGAAACCGAATCTACGGGTGATGTGCGACCCATATCTCCGACAGCTGAAATAAAAGAAGAGCCCGGCCTGGAACCGCTGGAGCCCATTCCAACACCCGCGCCCAGCAAGAAGCGTCGCAAGTCCCGCACTCAAATCTCACCCGATTCTGGGGATCAGGAAAAGCGTCCGATCCGCAAGCGAGTCAAGGCGGTCAACAAGGACTTTGTTTACGATTTGGTTGCCTTCAAGCAGGATGCTTCTGGTCAACAGACACCCGCAGGCGTACCCGTGGAGTCCATGCGAGCTAAGCTGCGGCGCCAGCCTACGGGTAATTCTGATGAGAACAAGCCCAAGCAGTGGGCGGCATACATAACAGAGGCCAAGAAGCCTCTGATACTGGGAATCACGCGTCGCATAATGCTGGAATTGGTGGGCCAGGGTCGAGCCGTATCGGCCACATTGCCGGAATTGCCATCGGAACGGCCTCAGATACGGCCACGCCTTATTTCGCATACACGCAGCGACAGTGGTCAGCAACAGCAGAATCCGAATGTGGTGGAAACAGTGCCGACTCCCGCCCCAGAAACCGAGAGTTTCATAGAGAAGATAGCCAAGCGCACGGCAGCAGCTGGAAAGGATAATGCTACCATCAGCAACCTGTGGAACAAGGTCAATATTGCGATTGCCCAGCAGCAGCAACAGGAGCATGAACAGCAGTTGAAAAAGGAACGGGAGCGTGAGCAACAAGCGCTGGAGAAGAAGCCGGAGGAGGAGGAAGCACCACAAGTGGATCAACCAAAAAGCCCCCTGTCCGAGCCACACTCTCCGCCCCGCATATGCGACGCCTCCGCTTTGGAAACTCAGGAATGCCTTGGCGGTAAGAGCGGTATACCTGGAGCATCCACAATGTTTCCAGCGCTACCGAAGCCGCCATCCGTTCTGCAGGCAGCCGCCAATGGAACCATCCAGCTAACCCTAGACAGTCTTCTGCGCGCTGCGTTGCAAAACTAAACAACGGCGAAACTGAAGGTCAGTTAAGATTCCTATTGGGCTTTGATTTTGGGAACCTGTAGCTGGTCGCTATTCCATTTACCGTTTTGAATGTAATTCACTAGTGTGTCCTTATTGTAAAACCAACTAAATAAGAAACCAAGCAGAATCAAACAAAGAATCCCTAGATGATAAATACGCTTTGAGTATTATGCGGTAAAAGAAAAAACAACCAAAACGAATTCAAAATCGTAGAATAATTTTCGGCTATTAGCAAATGTTTGTTGTTTGTGTGAATTGAAAAAAGTACAGATTTTTTAAAATGTTATAGTTAATACTATATATGTACCTAATTTTATATAACCCCACAGAAAGTAAGTCACACACAAAAGTGTAGAAGGTTGATGTGCAAATACACAGCAAATTGCTAGAACATAAATTGGATTTTATGTTTACGAGCTAAACGGTTTAGACTTTATAAAATTTCCATAAAAATAGTATCATATTTTATTTTGTAATAAATTATTAGGATTTGTTTTATATTTAAAAAATTAATACATTTATCACGATGCTCTCCTAAGCAATTATCTTTGTAATATTTAGGAGCAAATCTATTAGGGAATTTTGAAAATAATCTCTTTAAAATGTATTAACAATATTATTCTTGGCAATCTGCTGTCTATATGCACATTTTGGAGCCATATACATGTTTATAAAATGTTAAATGGGCAAGTATTTTGCCAAAAAAAAAGATCATCAAACACTAAAGGAGAATTTCACACGCAGACATTCAAAGAATCCCTGATCTACGCAAGTAGTTCAATGTATTTATATATCATTGTAATGTACAAGGTAGAGCCTTAAATCAAATCACCAAATGATAATAAATCCTACGATAATCACCAACAAAAATGTTTAAATTTAATGATATTGTGTGAAAAACACAGATTTTAAATTGGAAAAAAGAGCTTTGGAAATCCTATTTCATTATGAAATGTTTTTAAATCAAGAGTAAGAGTAGGAAACTTAATTAAACTTAATCGATCTTATCGACTATCCGTTTTTACCTAATATACATTTGTAATTCATCCTAAATCTTAATTTTTGATAGCCTCTGCTTATTTCCCATAATACTAGTTTTAACTAGGTTTAGGCTGGTTATACTTATTCGTTCGAGCTGAAATTGAGCATATTGGTTGCTTCACCCAGAAATACTGTTTCCTATACAAAGTCCGTGTATTAATCATTCAACCTGATGTGCTATAAACGATGCCTTGAGCTTTAATAATGCACCGATTGGCAGCATTCAGGCCTAATGAAAACTAATCGAAGACTCCGAATGCCTCATCTGCCCCATCCGGCATTCAGTTTGTTTGCTTATGGCCAAAGTTGATGCTGCTGCAACATAAACATGTAAAGCAAACCAATCTGAACCGAACCGGGGACCCTTTGGCCAAGTTGGCCAAGTTGGGGTGAAATAGTAGTTGGCCTGGGCCTGTGACCATTGATTTATTGCCTGCCATTTTGGGTGAGCCGACAGAGTATAGGCCCTCTTTTTTAGAGATGTGCCGTGCTATCTGCAGATAAGACCCAGATGACCCCCTTTGGGAGCCGGGCTAATTGGCGTTTTTCAATTGCCACAGAATGCTGAAAGTAAGCATGGAGTGGTGGATGAGCTCTCTTGCACTTTGTGTTTCTGCCGGCTGACGGCAGGCCCTTGGCTAATTTATTTCTTGAAGCATTTTGAAAAGTTTACGCCTCGCCAGCACATAGACCGCAAATTATTTAATTGCCATCTGGCCATGCCCCCTAAAAGGACGAATGCCTTTGCAGCGCTCAAGGACTTTGCCTCGATGCAATAATTTAAGTGCAAGCTAACCGCAACTTTCTGGCTCAAGCACGCACACAGACACAAAAAGGGGGAATACCGAATGGCTGCCGGCAGGAAGAAGTCATATTAAAAATGAACAAAAGCAAAATGTAAAAAATAGACGGCAGACGAGGGAGTTGCATCCTGTCTGAGTTCGTATTCCTGCTCCAATGCCCCAAAGCTCAGTACTCAGTAAAAAGGACTCCATCTCTGCGGCTTTTGGCCTTGCCCGACCGAAATGCACTTTAATAATGAAAGTTGCGCCATTTTGAAGAACATTGAAAACATTTCGGAATGCAAACCTAATTTCGGTTTTAAAAAACGCAAGTACTCGTTCGCCGGCGCAAAGTATTTCAATTTAAAATTCGTAACGAGCTTGCGTGCCAGCAGCTGGTCATCATGGTCAGTTCTTGGACTCTTGTCCGGGTAACCAGCAACTAGGACTCCAGTTGCGACCAGGTCGCATTTCAAATTAATGCAAAACCCAAAAGTGTGTGTCTCTGGCACAGTCCAAATTAAATGAAAAATGCCCTTCGGTGATAGGGATGCAACTATTATATTCCAAATTAGTTTATAAAAAAACTTAATCGAAACATTAATAATCTCATAAATGATTTATTGGTTGAAGTTAATGCATTGACTTGTTCAAAAGGATCACTTTTTAGAGCTGGAACATCGGTACACATTTATTTTTGTCTATAAGAATCTAGAAACTTATTGTTTAACTTTATTTCTCATAGTTTGTATAAGAAAGGGTTTATATCTGTGCTCGGATTTGCCTCTGGTTTCTTAATTTAAATGTACACAGCCCCAAAATTCATTAATTTAATTAAATTATTCTGAAATACTAAGTGGCACACAACCATTATCCCAGGCATTTTCCTTTATTTCCTTGCCCCAATTCTGCAGCTCCATTGTCTTCTAAGCTAACCGAGATCCTTTGTCTGCCATTACTATAATTTCGTCTGCTCATCTCTAGCTGAATAATGGCCAGGAGTAGGTCACAGTCTCGGGGAGATTACCTGCTTAAGACTCACTGCGGTTGTGCGAGGAAAATTGTGCAACTGCTTTAAATTTTTAATGCGTGTGTGTGTGTGAGAGAGTACAGGTGCAACTGCAGGTTTTTGGGTTCCAGGATATCCCAGGCTAAATTAAGAAGGTGCCCGACGCTTTTGCAAAGCGTTTCATTGTGGCGCACATCTGTGCAGTTTTTGTGGCGGACAAATGGAAATTTCAAGCCTATTACATAAATGTTTAAATGGGCAAATGGCTTGGACGGCCGGAAAGTGTCTACTTGGCAAAGTCCAAGTCCAAGTCCCTGTCCCATACCCAAACCCCAATCGCATCCCTTCAGTTCACTGAACGCAGCTGTACACACATCTTCCTCCTGGGAGCAACCCAACATACTAACGGTGGCATTAAGGCCCTGGACGCTGGCCATCTCCAAAAAACCGAATGGGGCCAGTTGAAAAGTGCAATTGGCAAACAGTTGAAACAGAAAAGTTGCAAAGGGAACGAATGAGGAAAGGGCTGCCGCAGGAGGGAGATATGGCAAGAAAGGCAAAGCCATAGAAAAGACGACTCTGGTAATTTGTTCTGAGCGGCTTTTGTTTTGTGCGCCATTTTCGTTCCATTTTGGCCAACTTTTGAGGTGGCAGCAGGCGGAAGGCAGAGCATCCTTGCCTCCTTTCTCGCTTCGTTGACAGCGGACGGACTTCTGATTGAGCGAGGATGTGTGCGAGGGCGCCAGCAAGTCGCAGCTCAACCTTTTCCCCCAGCTTTCGCTTTCCAATTGACCTTCTTTGACATTTTTCGCAATGCCCCGAAATTTATCACTTAATAAATTTCCCTTTTCCCTCCTGGCCTTAACTCCTTCCATCTATTCGCCCACGAATGGTAATTGGAACTGCTGAAATCGAAACTGAACAAATTGCGGGTTGGATAAATGATAGCCTTGGCAAAAAACAGTCTCTGGGGGACACTGATTATATTATCTCTAGAGGGTTTAAATTGTGGGTTTGAAAATTGAAATTTTATTTCAGGATTTGTGATATTTTTTTGTGTGGCGAATATATGGAATAAAAGTTTTTTAAGCTCACACTATAAATACAACAATGTTCTACTTAAAAAGTGGTCCAATGTAATACAAAAATGTGTAGAAAAATATTTAATTTATATGAAAAAATATGTAAACTATTTTTCGACGCTTTTTTTCGCTGGCACTCATTACAAAATCTGTTGTTTATATGCAAAAGGTAAACACATAAAATAACGCCTGTAACGATCAGACAGAAATACCGAAATTTTAATCAAGTGTTAACTAAAAAAAATAAAAGTAAGAAAGAAAGCTAATTTCGAGGAGCCGAAGTGTTTAAGTCCATTACTCATAGGATCATGGGTTCGAATGTTTAATCGAACATAACTCGGCCAAAAATGCATTAATTTCAATTCGGAAAGCGTTGCTATGCTAGTTTTTATTAGGTTAATAAATCTGCATACTAAATTCGAAATGAATAATTTTATCAATTTTTGACAATTTTAATCCCTTTAATTTTCTTGCGAAAATCAAAATTTTTTTGAAAAGTTTGTTTTTCTGCCGGAGATAGTTAGAAAGATTCGCTTATTGATGCTGATCAAGAATATATATGATTTATAGGGTCGGGAATGATTCCTTGACATCTTTGATAGCTTTTAACTAATAATATGACCTGAATGGGCATAATGCTGTGATCAGAATATATATTAATTATAGGGTCGGAAATGACATCTCCATTGTTTTGCTCTAAAGGGTATAATTAGTTAATTGGAAAATTAAGTTATAGCTAACACAGCTGATTCCAAATCTAGGCCTGATTTCTTCTATCTATATATCCTTTAATATACATGATTTAATTGTCATGGCTTAGACTTACCGCAGCAGAGGACAGTAGAAAAGTTATGCCTTCATTCCTATCAATGCATAAGTGTAATCTTGGTGACTTCAATCATCGATCATCATCATCATCAATCTGGCTCTCCAGATTTATTCATTGGTCGGATGATACTTTTGGGGTCGATCACTATCACTTCCACTATCACTATAGATGTGAACACTAGGCTGGCCGCGAACATACTGAGTTCGGCGGGACGGCAGTACCTGTATTTATACTCGCCACGTCAAGAGAAAAGAGAAAGTGAGAGCGAGAGAGAAAGAGATATCTCTAGAGCCGCACTTACCATAAATACATGGGATATAGAGAGAGCGAGAGAGTCAGAGCGGGAGAGAGAGTCAGAGAAACAGAGAAATAAGCATTGCATTTTTATTTTCATTTAACGATCGTTAAAGTTGTCCGATTTTAATATAATTAATCTGATCAAGACAGATCTGAATGATCAGAAATTTGTATACGCTATATACTATAATATACTTCTGATTAAAACTACAATACCCTGCAAAGTATATGTATTAACAAAATAAATAAATTACTTCAGGATAGTAAATAATTTCATTAGCAGAGAGAAATATATTTAATCCAGCGGTCATTGCCAGATAATAAAGTTTATTGAATTTCCGTATTATTCCTGATTTATATCCCAAATCGGAGCAGGCTTTATGACGCATAAATTCGGCAAAGTGTTTAGCAATATCAATAAATTCGCTTGGATCTGCATAAGTGCAAAGCACTTTCCCACGACCTTGGATTTTTGTTAAATTGTATCAGTAAAATGTCATAAATGGGAATCAAAAGGGGCCGGGAAAATACGAGGCGCGTATCAAAGGCGTATTAACGTTTTTACGCACTCGCTTTTGCCCCGGTCCAAAAGTGACTTAAAAGCAACGGAAAGACAATCTCCTTGCTGGTGCTCCTCCGCTGATTCCGCTCGCAAATCCTTTATCCTTTCGTGCAGACATAAACGTTTCGGGGGCGAAATTTATGTAAAGGACTTATGCATAAAATTGCGCATCATTGAAGTTGAAATGCTGGAGTCAGATTTGCGCCAGCGACATCATCAATACACTTCGGTGGCCATTAAGTGCGGCAAGGGCGAAGCTCCTGGCGCTAAACGTTGCGCATACGCCATGTGTGACGCGGGGCAAGTTAAGCGCGGCTATTAGAACAAATTGAATAATATCGAGCTCGAACTTGAGCTCGTGGCAGCCGCTATCCGATATTTTATGCATTTGTTTGTGACTTTGAAGTGCTCGCCACGCGCCCTCAACACTTTTCCCATTTCGTTATTTTATTTCTCCCGCTCGTTTTATTTTTCCACATATACATATATGTATTTTTTGTTCGTTCCTTGGCTTGGCTTTTATCAGCACACGCACAGACCTTGACTGGGAGAAGTCGCCTAAATCTCGGCGATATATTTTACATCATTATAGCTGCTCCTCTTCCGGCCTCTTCCGCGTCTGTTGTTGGTCTTGTTTATGTTTTGTAGCTTCTCTCGCGATTTTATGACTTTAACAGGGAACTTCCCACTCCAAGGCCCCCGGGCATCGAGGCTCCGCCAAAGCTATTGAAACAGATTTCGCTGACTCTCACTTTCCCCCTCCCCCCCCAACTCAATGAAATTCATTTTTCGATATGTTATTCCTGTGCCGGCACGACTTCATGTGTGTGTGCGTGTGCGAGGCTTTGGTTTACCTGGATTCTCTGTAAGGGTCCCGCCCACCTTTTTGGGCGACACTTTTAGCATCATTATCTGCACGACATCGAAGGCTCAAGCTCAAGCACTTTGAGTTATGCGCCTGGCAGACGCTCAAAAAACATAAAAAACAAATAAATAGCAGGGAAAAACGAAATGTACCCAAAGATACACGGGCGTAGGCCTCGAGGGTAGGAGAAAAAAAAAATCGGAGGCTGAGGAAAGATGCGATTAAAACCCACCCATGTAGGCATACATACGATTCCAGACAGTCTTGAGAAAAATAAGGCATTTTATTACCAAATCTTTTAGTCAAAGATTTAGGAACTCCCTGTCCCTGCACCCCAGACTTGGCAGACATGGAAATTTATTAGGTCTGAAAGTTTTTAAACATTTAAAATGCTTTACGAAATTACCAAGAACCAGATAGTAATTTTATGGTTTAATAAAAAACATTTAAAATAATGTGTTTAGAGGAATATTAAATAATTTAATGACGAGGTTTTATATCGAATACTGCTTAGTATTTGATTTCTTTGGGAATCCTTTTATGCTTTTAACTTAAGATAACCTTTATTCATATTAACTAACCCAGTAAGATAATACTTAATTTTCCAGAAAGTAATGGACTTATTTTATTGATAAATTCCGATAACTTTTCTCCCTCATTTAGTTACGAAAGAGTTTCCAGTTTGTGAGCTCAATCGTAAATTTTTTGTTGGCCCAATTTATGACTGTTTATTTCTCTGGGGTTTTTCGGGTGCTTCCGGTTTCCGGCTGTGAGCTGTGTGCCGGGCTCAAAGGCTTCTTTGTTTTCGGGGACACAAGTCAAATGCTCGCTCTTTGAGCTGGTTTTACGATTGCGGTTAACAATCATCTCGTTGATGGGATTAATTTGCCTAAGTGCAGTCTGCGAGTTGCAATGCTGCCCGCCTGTCGATCGACAGGAGTTCACACATTTTCACCCCGGAGCCCAAAAACACAGAGCTCCCCGACACCGACACCTTGGACAGGCGCTGGCTGGGTTATTTTTATGGGCGATGGGCGATGGACGATGGGAGATGTTATGGGGTTACCAGTTGGCACATAAACAGGCAGCAGCCACGTCCATCCATCCATCTATCAATTGGCGTGCGTGTGGTGCGGGTCGGGGGGTTGTGTGCTTAACACACCATTGAACTGTTACGCAACAGGAACCCACACACAGATACTACTGAGTCAGCTACAGATGGAGATACAGATACATACATATGTCCGGTGGTGGAGCCCTGCAGACAAATCCCATTTGATGTTCACTCAGCAGAAAGGCAACGCCAATGAAGCATGCAAAAGGTATTCCAGCTTTTTCCTTTGGCCGCTCCAGTCGTGGCCCCCGGATTGCTGAGATTTTGGCTTTGTAACTCAAAATCGGTCGGTACAAGGTACAAGGAGCGAATGTGCAAACATCGTGAAAAACGCTGCCACAACAACAACACAAGGAACAAGGACAGGGTACAAAAAAAAAAAAAAAAAAAAAAAAAAACGAAATGGAAAAAGCCAAGCGAAAAAGAAAAATCCCAAGAAACAAAAGGCCAAAAGGCTGATAAAGACGCTTACAGGCCGCAACCGAGGCAAAAGGAAACTTTTCCTCTAGCCAGCTTGCCTCCTTTTTCGCATTTTATTGAACTTTAATTCATTTTGCACTGGCCAGCAAAATGTGCAGAATAAATTGCTTTCTTTAAGCGAAGAGCTCGGTGCAAATGTGGTCTCGGGATGCAGCTCCTCGCCTTGTTCCTTTGTGTGTGTGGGGATCTCCCCTCATTGTCCACTGGGTCATAAAATGGCTTCCGGTTATACTTCAAGCGAGATTAACTTGTCGTTTACAATTTCCCTTTGATTTGTTCCAACAGTAGAATGGGGGGACTATAGCTAGCCGAGGGGTGAAGTGTGTGGCTCTCTAACATATATATACTTATATATATATAGACCAGGTTTGCCTTTGCAGGACTTTCGCTTTCATCTCATGACAATCCTGCGGTGGATATGCAGCCGATATGTTGCCCTGCATCAGCTAGGATAAGCATATTGGCTTTGAACTTTATACATTTTGTGGAATTTTAAGCTTTGTAAAGCTAAAACTTTAATGTAAATAAAACAGAAAAGTGTTAAGTACTTAAGGGTTCAGCATACTGTAGAAAACATAATTTTTAAGGAATTTAGCTTAACAAAAAATGTTCTTTTTGGCATTGAATATAAAGTTTTTAATAATGTAAATCGATTTCTGTAACAGTAATCGAGGAACATATTTAAAGCGATTTTTCTTTTTGCAACAAATCGTAGGCCATCATGGCATATGGCTAGAGAACTCTCATTTTTCCGCCATTCAGATTGAAAAATGGCCATGTAATTGCTGCATTGTTGTTGGCCTGGTCGGGTACAAATTGATTTACAACAATTCATTCTCGCCCGGGGCAACCGCTGTGAGACCCAACCCAGCTGACCAGAACACTTGTGGGGGCAAGTAGTCTCAGGTGTGAGTTTTATTTGTTTTGAAATTGTTTTCTCCGCTTTGTTCGGGCTCCCGTATTTTCTTTTTTGTTTTTTTTTTTTTGCTTGTATTCCCCCGTTTTGCTTTGTTTCGACAGGGTGAAAAGGAAGCCAACCAGCCGCACGCAGTGGTGCTCTGTTTTCCTTGCGGCCTGCCGGTAATTTCATTTCGTCCTGCCAGCCAGCCAGCTATTCGCTCCATAGAAGTGCAGCCAGCCCTCGCTTTCGCTTTCGCTTTCGCTTGGGCTTGCGCTTTGGCTCTCACCTTTCGGCGAAACACAAAACCAAAACCAAATCTGGCCCAGTTCGCGGCTGCTATGCAATTAAGCCACGCAATCAGAATGCAAGATGAAGGCTCTGCAAACAATTGAATTCGGCCAGCAAAGGGACACACAGTGATGGGAAAAGGTACAGGTTTCAGTATTCCCAACCAAGGCTCAGGATATATGGGTACAATGATAGCAAAATTAACTTAACTGTAATAAAGATCATCTGTCAGTAGCAGAAATGTATTCGAAATGTTTAAAATTATTCTATATTTATAATAATATGAATTATAAATTAAAGACAAGGCTAAGAGAGTGCTACTTGGGCACTTACCTAAACTCCAGCCAGCGCAACACTGGTAACAGGATGAAGCACAACAGAAGCGTCGAGTTGTGAGGTGGCCCAAATGCTGGCAAAATGGCGGCCACAAGCTGCAAAGCCAACATGGCAGCTGACATCTGTCAGATGCTGTTATTCCGCTGCACTTTTAGTTGCCTTTGGGCTGCATTTGGGCATCCCGGGCATCCTGAGCTCCCCATTCCGGCCGGACTTTGTTTGCCGTTCCCGGCTGAGCACTCACAATGGTTCGCCCGCTGGCAAAATCGGAGCCACTAACGAGCCGGTCCATGTGGTGACCGAGATCGCGGGAATTACGACGAGCTGAATCATTTTTTGAGGACAACCTGGATCCAGTGCTCCGACTATAGTTTATTTTTTATATTTTTCATTAATTAATTTTAGTTAGAAGCTTGAAACGGAAATTAAAGAAGAACAAGCTGTAAAATTGTATTATTAGGGTATCGAATTGGAATTTTACGTTTTAATGATTTTTTCTAGCAAGTCTTATTACCAGTCAGCACTTGATATAGGAAAGACCGCTTTAATGGATAAATATTTCTTTTTAATGGGTATGGTTCCCACACAATTATAGTCTCTCAATCCCTAATACATTAGATTTCCTTAGCACTTTATATTGTGCCAGAAATCTCTTCTGCTCTGCAAGCTGTCGATGATTTTGAAGTTCCTGAGGAAATTAAATTCAGTAAAAACACACTAGATCCTGTAGAAACGAGGACCAAGAAAGTTATTCACACTGAGGGAAGGACTCGTGCATATCGGCAATTGCGTAGTAATGCTATTGATGATCACAATTTAAACATTACCAAATACAATGGCGAAATGATTGACAATTATTGCTGCTTTTGGGTGTACCAAACACATCCCGCTATTCCCCAAACCTGGAAGCATATGTCCGAATATCCTTTCGACTTTCACTTCAATGGCCAATTTGTGGCGAATAAGCGTCACAATCAAAGTGAAAATCCTTCAAGTAAATTGAATTTTTAATAAATTGTAATTTGTAAAATAATATGTAGTAAGGAAAACCTTAATTAAAGGCGAATACTTGAATTTTTAAAGATTTTAAAGCAACTAATGTGTTATATTCAATTCTGTTCACTATATATCTACATGTGCAGCAAGAGTTAATTCATATTATGGAAGATCAACGGAGCCGACAATGGATGATGTGCAATGTGGCTATGCGTTTAATTGAGCCTACGGCACCCGACAGCTCAACTGAGGCTCAGAAATATAATTAACTTTGTCTGCCCGGCAAAGGCGACTGAGGCGGGGCTGGGCGGGGTCAAAGTTGCTCAAAAGTTGGGAAATTCGTTCGGTGACCCCCCCGAAAAGCGGGCGAAGGAGGGGGGACGCTTTTTGTGCCTAAAAGCCTGACAGCACATAATGGATTTGACACATTATAATCAGGTTTGCTTTTGCTTGCATAGTGTCCTTCGCCCAGTCTGTCAGTCAGTCAGTCACCCAGTCAGTGAGGCGAGCGGTCCCCCGAGCACTCCGGCAACTTGGGCGCTTTGACGTGCTCTGCTTATTTGGTCAGCAAGTTGTTGTAGTTAGCTATAAACGTGCACAGCAAGAAAAGTATTTATTAATATTTAATTAATAACTAATATACATATAATTCCCACGATTCAGCTGACAACAAAATGATCTTTTATCATATTTAAACCAACATTTTATTTACATAATGAAAGTTAAATTATATTTACATTATTTTTGCAAATATTCCCATTAATTACACCGTATGACAGGTGAAGTGTAAGATTTCTCCCCGTAGAGTAGGTGCCCATCATCATCGTCCTGAGGAGAAGTTTGATAAATAAGCAGAGCGGGCTCATGTCTGAGCATTTACTTAGTTAATTAAATTCAACTTCTTTGGCCGAAGGGAAATGACAGAGGAGGCAAGAGAGCAAGTGAAGCCCTGCTGGGCGAGCGAGGTACCGTGCCCCCAACCCCCCATGAGTGTCCCGACCAACATCCTTCCTGCGAAAAGTTCGTCCAACGTATTTGTTCATATCATAGGTAAATATTTCCTGGACGGCAGCCTTGATGTTTGCTTTTAATTTCGCCTTTTCTTTTGCCTTTAGTTTTTAATGTGTCCAGGTGATTAGAGCGAGCGGCTGCACTGCCACATCCTGCCGAATCCTGACCAAGGGTATTTGTATGATTCGCCAGATCGCTCTCTCTCTCTCTCCCCCTGGCTTTGGCAATTTCCTGCTCCAATGACTAATGAAAATGGTGAAAAGATTTAAATTTACCGCACTAAAACACACACGCATACACACGAGCCACTTTCCTTGAAGGATCTTATCTCCCTCCTAACTTCGAGAATAAATTCTGTGTGTGGGTGCGAGCAACTTATGCAAGCAAATAATTCCGTTTTAAATCGATTTAAAATGGAAACGAATGAATATATGTATTGACACAAGTATTTTATGCAAATGCACATATGGAATGCACAGAAAGAAACCAAACGAATAAATTAAAATGTTTATTTGAATTTGATTTGAATTTAATATTTGAAAATTACTTAACGAAGCACAAGACGCCCTCTACCGAACATTTCTTAAAATTGTAGTTACAACGAACGATTTCTTTTCTATTTCACGAATCAAGGGGCGCCCTCTATAGGATTAGTCAGTGTGATATATCTACTAACCGATCGCATGGAGCAAATCGGTTATCGATAATCAGCTGTTCTTATTCGCGCTCTTTTCACGCAAAAAAAGTATTTCGCTGTTTACTTCGCGTTGTGATTTAGTTTATTAATTGTTTATTGTTTATAAGTGAGTGATAAGTGCTTTTCGCGATGTCAGTTTTGCTGGCGGACATTGATGCCACGTGCGCGGCATTGGGGTACAGCGATGGTCAGAAGTATCAAGCAGAACCCGATGCCGCAGAAGGTTTGAAGGTATTTCACTCGCCGCACTCATTACAATCTGTGCCTAACACGATTCCTTACTTCCAGCACCTCATTTGGATACTGCGAAGAGATCTGGATAACCATGAGTATCGCCGCCACTTGGGCCGCGCCAAGGTGGTGCAGACCGACTTGGTTTACATGCTGCCGGACTATGTGCACCACGAGGAACTGTCCGATCTGCTAATCCGCCTGCTTGTCATCCTGACCAATCCCACTCTGCTGCTGTACCGCGAGGGTCCGCCGAAAGACAATCATGGCCGTAAGGTGTTTATGGAACTCATTGACATACTGCAGGGCTACAAAGCAGCCTTTGCTCGGGACAAAATCTGGACGTCACTTTTCGAAAAACTCAAGCAGGCCTTGGAAATAGTGAGTATTAATCGCCCTGGCATCATTATAGATACTTGTTTCTTAAACACAAGTTGACTAAATCATGGCACAAGTCGCTGAGGGAGCAGAAGATTTAGGCTGCGGTGGCAGTGGCAGTGACGATAGTGGCGACGAGAATGCCACCGATGAGGTGTCGAGTACGTCTAACATCTACTTCACCTGTATGGTGTGCATGACCACTGGACGCTCGGCGCACGTCAGCCACTGCGGGCACCACTTCTGTGACAAATGCATCCGCAGATGGATGCACACTCGGAATCGCTGCCCGTATTGTCAGGCTTTTGTTGGAAAGCATACACTCATTCCCATAAACATGGAGCCGACTGTTGACTCGCAAATTGTCTCGGAACGTCGTCGTCGCTTACCCCAGGAAAATGAATATCGCAAGATAAGGGCCATCTTGCCAGAAATTGGCATGTTTCAGCGCGGCTACGTCGAGTATCCAATGGGTCGGCGACCGCGTTTCAAGCCGCTGCCGCCGCAGATGCTCAAGGACGCCCCAAAGCTGCCCATTCGCTGCGTATTCATGGCCCCCAACCTGTTCCAGCGCGCTGTGACAATAATTATACTAGCGTTCCTACTGGCCATGTTCCAGAATACCTACGAAAAGGAATAAGTCAAGAACGGTTGATCCGGATCAAACGCATCGAAACAGATGCAGCATATTTTTTGTTATGTTTAACTAATTGTTAATAGAAAACACTGCAGGCTCGCAATTTATACTCTGCAACACATTCACACTGTGTTATCCTTAATTGGTCTTTCGTCCCGTACAAATGATTGTTTATAGTTTCCCCATACATCTACCCTCAATTGTGTTCAAGGATGGGCTGGTCTCCTGCTCTAAAGCCCAAGCAATTATCGTTGGGGTATTTGCGCAACTATTTCCGTAATCTTTATAATCTATGCATTAATGGCCAAGCGGGTACGCAAAACTTTTAATGGCCCTTGCAGCTGCCAGCAGTCAAGTTTTTTTTTTGTGGGTAGAGAAAGGGCTTTTCACATTGCTCGTTCGCCTCGCACCAAGTTTGTTTTGGCTTTATGACTGCTGTGTTCGTCTCTTTGTGGGGTTCATAACTAATTTGAACTTCATATCTATTCGCTTTTATCTTCTTTATTTGTTCCCTTTCTGTACCCCTTCTTTTATTAACTAAAGTTGTGCGCTTGAAGTCCTTCTGCTTTGTGGCCAAAAATCCAAAAGATGGAATTTAATTTGAAAATATCTCAAAATATGAAATCGAATCGGCAAAAGGGAAAGCCGCAACAAGTCGATTCAATAAACGCCCACAACAAGTGTGAACTGCTGAATGTGGGGGTGGCTTCACGACGGTGTTGGTGGTGCCAATGGCTACAAGGCACCTTCAAATCAAACACGTCACAGCCACACAGAGGAAGGAATTCCATCCTGGCCTAGACATACCTGCTAAAAAAAGAACAAGCAAAACCAAACCGAATCAAACTGAACCAACATCGGTGGTGGGTCGAGACACTGTTGAAACCACAAAGGCAAAAGCCCAGCAACAATGATTGCCAATCTGTGGAAGTGTGCCTAGGAGGTAGGGTGTCTGTGGGTGGGTTTTACAAATGCTTTCAATTGCTAGTTTTTAGATGAATGAAAAAAAATCTATATATGTACAACACTGATGAATGACTCTTAGCAATTCCGAAGTTTCGAATACTCTTGTTAAACTTGGGAAGAGATATTTAATGCTAGATTTGTATTTAAAGTTCTTTGAAAACAGATTTTGGTTATCATTACTTCTCGTGACAAACTAATAGTTTATTACTCATAAAAATTATGTATTTTCCCTAAATTTGTCGTATTGTCATGACAAATTTCCACGAAAATTTAAAAAGCCCTCTGCAAAGGGTATAAAAAAAGATATATTTGACCCAACGGCATTGAATTAGGGTCGAATGGTTCGTCCTGTTCAAAATCCCCTCTAGGCAGGCAAAAAATAAAATAAAATTTTTTTGATTTCGGCGCGATATTTGTGGATGAGCTCCAGGTTGATTTCCCATAAATTTGTAATTGAAAATATACGTTGAATGGGAGACGTGGTCGCCGTCTTGTGACCTAACTATTTTCCGAATGACCAAATCAAATGAAGTGGCGGGTGGAACTGCTAGGCAATTATCATAAGTTAAATCCTGGTTACCGAAATGCCAAAACGTAAATCTCAAAGATGAGAGCGAGCCCCTCCTAGTCCCCGCAAACCCATCTCCTAACACAACGAAATAAATTCATTTAAAGCCGATTGAATCGACATTCATAACACTCCGGGGAGCAATTCCAAAGGATTTTCATGGCGCTGCGTTGCCAGCATTGCCAAAGAGTCGCCCGAGGATTTCTTTACATTTCCATTTTTTAGGGAGCGATTTTCCTTTTTCCTTTCCGTTTTTCTCGTTTTCTGTTTCTGCTGTATATATTTTTTTGTTAGGTTAAATGCAGGCGAATTTCTATATGGATGCTGTCTATTTGTTCTTGTTGCTGTGTGGCTGTTGTCGTTGATAATGAATGTGTGCGAGGATTTTTCCGCTGTTGCCTCTGGCGGTGTTGGTCCCTTCTCCTTGCTACTACACTTGAAAAAATGTATAAAATGTAATAGATAATTTAGGAGGTATAAGAAACGAATTTATTAAAAGATACCTATTTTCAAGAAGTTAAGTTCTGCGTTAAATAAAAACAGAAAATGTGCAAGTTTAATGCAACTTTAAAAATAAGTGCAATCATTCTTGTACAAAATCTAATGGTTAAATAATCTTAAAATAATCAAGTCCCACCAAGACTATTATATATAGCCTTCGTTCTTTCAGTCTCTGAGATCGTTTGCCTTATTTCAAATTATTTATTCAATTTATTACTTTTATATAATATTTTCTTTTATTTGTTGCAAACTTTTTTGACAAGTGCCTTGGTGTTGGTGGCTGACTTTTTATGCTTTAATTCTTTATTTGCGTCGCGCCGACTTACACGCTTTGATGTATGCGCGGCGAGCAGCCAAGTGGACAGGCTGGAGTAGGAGAAGGACCTTCGTTTTTCCTCTACTTTCTCCGAGTAGGAGTGAAGGCGGGGCATTGAGCTTTCAGTTTTGAATGAGCCACCGTCTCCTCTGCTCCTCCTGCTGCTGTTGTTGTTGTTGTTGCTTAGGGAAACCAAAAACGGAAGTCATTATTAACTTTGGCTTTGAGATGGGCTCGGGGTCCTGAGGTCTGGAACCCCGAGTTCCCTGCCTCATGGGCGGGTGTCTATGTCCGGGCAGAGGAGTCAGCATCAGAGTCGGAGCCACAGCTGGCTTGTAGGCACAAAAGCCGCATTAGTTGTATTTATTTTTAAGCTCACAGCAGCAACTGTAATGTCCTGCTGCGCCCATGGAACGGCAACCGGTCGACCAACCGCCTAGCCACCCTGGAACCCAGCCTCACAACCATCCTCGTTCTCCTGCCAGGCATCCATCCTCTCTCTTATCGCCCACACCCTGCTCAAATTGATTTCAACTTGACTTTGTTGTGGTCCCATCGCCTGTCTTGCCTTGAGTCCGGGCTTCCGTTTTACAGTCGAGCTACATAAATTTGCAATTTAATTTAATTTAATTTCATTTGATTATTTTAACTTGACTCGCGGGATTTGGTGCTTAGATTTTTACACTGGGATTTGCTTCCGCATTTTATTATACTCTCTGACTCGTAATGCGACTTCCTTCCTTCCACAGGCCTTTGCCATCCGAAGCGAGGAGCAGAATCTACTGATTGAGCGCATCCTAGTGCTGGTGCGGAATGTCCTGCAGGTGCCAGCGAATCCGGAGGCCGAGTGCCGGGCGGACAACGATGCCAGCCTTCATGACCAGGTCATTTGGGCCCTCCACCAAACTGGAATGCTGGACCTAGTGCTCTTTGTGATCTCTTCGCCGGATGAAGAGCAGTTCCATCTGCACGGACTGGAGATTTTGTGCCTGCTCTACAGAGAACAGGTTGGTGATGATCTTGAAAGAGTTGTCTTTATGATTAATAACTTGATTGTTTCAGAGTGCCGAGTCCCTGGCGGATGCCTCCCTGCAACGCAGTCTCAGCGAGAAGCAGCGTGATCAGCAGGAGCTACTCGCAGCCCGTCGTCGGGAGCGTGCTCGTCGCCAGGCTCGTCCGCCACCCGGTCGTCATTCACGTTTCGGCGGCACCTACGTCATTCGGAACATGAAGTCCGTCTCAGATCGGGATGTGATCTGCCATCAGGCTTTGGAGCGGGTCTCCTCGATCGATTTCGACCGGGAGAAGGAGCATCAGAAGCGCTCGCATCGTCACATCCAGGAGGAGGCGCAGGTGACCCGCCGCAGCGCGTTCACTGTGAGGTAAGGTCATATTCCACAACCATAGCCATATCCATTTGTCTGTGGCCACTTCCTGCACTTTGGCTTTCGCCCATCTCTATTGTGCGGCTCCTGGTGTAGCCATTAGCATCGGAATTGTTATGGCCACCCGAATGCCAGCCCACATCCCGGCCATTGATTTTCGATTTTACGCTGCCAGGGCAGTCGTATCCAAGAGATTGAGCCAGAGCGAGGGCGCACCAGGGAGCCAGCGAGCCAGCGAGCGTATAAAATAATATTCAATAATAAATGAAGCCATTTCCTTTTGGCCCTTTCGTTGTTCCTCTTCCGCCCCTCCGCCACTCCGTTTCCCAGCTGCCTGTAATTCCTGCTGTTTTATAGAATCGCACAAACGATATTGGCTGCTAGAGGCTCTCGGCTCCTGGCTCCCGGCTCCCTGGCTCTCAGGTTCCGCCTGACTTGGCCGGGTTAAACAATATCTTGGCGCCGAGCAGCACCTCGGTCGCCGCTCCCCCTAATGGCCACCAGGTGCAGCTATTTTATGCTGCTCTGCTAACCAACAAACTACTTAAAGGATCTCCGCCCAGCCCGCCGACCAAGCAGTCCGGGATGCGGCTGCTGCTATTCGGGCCGTCTTGAATAGTTACAGTAAATGCATTTGCCGCAGTCCTAGGACTTGGTTTGATAGCAGAAAAGATACACTAGTTTTCGTACTTACAGGGATTTCTGTTGAAAACTATATGCCTAACGAAATATTACTCGTGATTAATTACAGTAAATTTAAAATCTTTATATAAGCTGAAGTATTTATTAATTCTTTCAATATCTTTTTAGATAATGATCAAATAATGATCAGAGCATTTGAACTTCGTCGGTGAAAAGTCCCAGAGTTTTCCACAATTTGTGGCGTTGAGCATAAAAACCCGTGCAGAGATAAAACTGCAGTAGCAACTTGGCGGCGCCAAAGGCATCGGCATTTTCTGCATCGCCATTGCCATCGGTGCGGCATCGACTTTGGGATCTCTCTCTCTCTGGCCGGCGAGCCGTGCAATTTTCAAGTAAAATCCTCAAAAGGTTTTTCCCCCATTTCGCTCGCTTGCAACATTTTTGCTTGTTAGTCGGCCTGTTCGTTGGCCTGGTTTATGGGCAAGATGCTTAGTCCTTTGGCTGGCCAAATCTTTAGGCGCCCATAAATTGATGGAGCAGAACAAATGTGACCGAGGCGACGCCGATGGCTGTGATTAGACAACTCCAATTGTTCCATCCAACAAACGACATCCGACCGCAAGCAAATGTATGGCCAAGTCGAGTCCGATTCCGAGTCCCAGCCCAAGTCCGAGTCCGGGCACGTAGGCAGCGAAAGTTCATCAATGTCACGTGTCGGGGCCCCGTGTGCTCACAACAATTTG